AGCACGCGAGCGTTAAATGTAGCGGCGACCAAAGTGACCTCGCTGACCACGAGGCTAGACACTCATTATTGATGAGCCGCATAGAAAATGGCTGCTAATATAGTAACCAAAATTTATGCAATACCTTTATTAAGTTAATTACGATAATAATTATTATGCGAATCATTGGAACGCGGAATATAAGAATTACCCGTCTAAGATAATTGGAATTAATAACGAATGGAAATGTAGTTTATTCCGTCTTCATTATTGGCGATGAATAATTTTTAATCCGATAAGTGGCCAGCCGACTTTACTTCCATCGACAATAAATTTTCCCATTCTCTCGTTATAAACAGCACCGAACGGGGAGCGATTCCTTCGTCATAATGAATAAGCCGTAACGGACAATTACACGAAAGTAATTTCTTAAACTACGAGGAAAATTTCAATTAGATGGAAGTTCCGTAGTAGTAGCTCAATAAAGATATTGCGTTAAGCTGGGTAATTGATTAGCGCCGATGTTGGGTCCTGAAACTTTGTATTTCATTGAGCGACCCTGCATTGATTAAAACAGCGGCCAAATCCATTGGCGACATCGTAAATTCACCGGCACTTAGGTAGCGCGAATACGAATTCACGATAGCTTTCGAAACATGTATCAAAGCATGTAACTAAGTATATGCTATAAATCATTCCCTTTTACTGATACGTTACATACTTCTGCGTGAATTTACGCATTAGTTTGCACTGAAAGAGAGTAAATACTGTTTTAATACTCGACTAAAAGCTTATTTAGATACAGAACGTAGAAGAGTTTTCTTGATTTTTCAGATAGAATATTAAAATTTTCTCTTTTTTACTTTCTACGTACTTTTTATCTTTTACGTACTAACTACGCGATTTCATTTCGGTGATATACAAAAGCTCGCGGAATTACATTTTCAAAGTGCTTGCTTTATTTATGTTGTTTCTCACTTTTATTCGTCGGATCGCATTTACATCGTCGCGACTCTAACGCCACGCGAAATCATGAAAATATGTACTTGCGGACTATTTGCGGAAGTTATGATGCCCAGGATATACGAAACGCAGGAGAAACGTAACAAGCAGTAGTTTCGTCGACGCGGTGAAAAAAGCTGCGCAGGCTGCAGCGGGGAACTGCTGAACTTTCCGAAGTAGCTTCTGTCTACGTACTCCGGCTGCAGCGACGACAAATGTTACCCCGGGGCTACGAGTCCGGGACAAATAAATTTTTCACGCGTCCTCTCCTATGCAAAGTGATGAACCTATTACGTTGAGCGATAGCGCGCTTTCTAGACATCGCGACCGGCCTTCTACTTATTCGCGAAATAACATATTGACGAGTTTCCGCGGTATCCGCCAATAAGTCTAGCCAAGTAATAAGTCACCGAGAAATAAAATGTCACCGCGCATTTCCTACCCAGTTTTATCTCACAAGATATATTTTTGCCTACCAAAAATGTCTTCCGCGATAAATTTTTAAGAACAGTCACGTACCATAAATTTCGAAATTAACCGAATGTAAATTAAATTCAGAAGCTTTCTCTTACAGTCTTGATATACATTTGTTTGTTAATGCATTATTTTATAAAATTGTGCGCATTAAATGTGTTTCATGGAAGAAAATTTTTTCCACGTGTATTCCAAGTTAAACTTTACATAGCATCATAAAATGTTCAGTGTTTATACAAAAGTTCTCGGTGACTTAATTCTGCGACATTTTATTTCTCGAAATGGTCGCCGTCGTCGGACGCTTGGCATGAGGTACGAAGTTTCGCGGAAGTAGAAAGGAAGTGCTTTCATTCGCACGTTCAACGAAATAGAAACCGTCGCCGAGAGTATATTAGATTCCGCCGAAGATAAACAATCGTTGATGCGAGAGATATCGAGAAAGCAAATATCACACGTGACGGAAACTGTCGCGCGCGCGACATCGAAATGGAATTTGAAATTCGCTTTTAAATACGTTGTGTTGTCAATACCGAAAAGTCCGGCGCAAATATTGTAATATTATTTATTCAGCGCAACAAACTCTAACACTGTATATAATATATCGCGTGTATTGCGCGGTAAGAACGGTCGATCATAATTTGTATCTTGCCCGTTTCGCCCCGTTCCATTTTAAAAGAATAAATTTTTCATGCTTGAATTGATTCGCGGCGCTTGTCATTCGCGATTAACGATTACATTTGTAACGGCGCAATTGGAAATGCAATTTTATTGCAAACCAGAGACGATAATCTGCTTTGCGTTTGTGTTAATTCGTATAAAAGCTCAGTAGTGAATCGATATATAATGTTCCGACAGCCGCGCGCCATATTTTTCGTGTTTTCGAGCAAATATATTATTTCGAAATTATACCTTTGTGAAGCAATTGATTTAACATTCGTTAATAAATCATTTGATCGAAATAGCGTTTGATCGAAATAAGTTAAATGGGGCATTAAGCAAGCAACGCGGCCTGACGATATGGACGATTATTAACATCCCATAATTATTAGCACGTGATTATTTAAGGGAATGAGTCGACGCTGACATTTCTCGGTTATTCTCATAAACGCGGCTATTTTCGATCACTCTCGAGAACTCGCGATTTCAGTATTATTTACGTAATTTATTATTTACGCGTTTACACTCGATGTTTTAATATTAAACTGACAACAATCGTACATATTATTCTAATGGACGTTAAGGATACGAACACCGGCTAACAATATCGACAAGTCAATGATTCGAAACCATCATACATTCAATGTATATTAGTTATTGAACCATGATGCATTTAGCCTACAGCATTAGGTTTGTAAACAGCTGACTGCGCCGAAGCTATGTAATGTTAACTAATCTCCCGTAACCCAAAATTCAGAGATTCACGTATTAAGATTTAATGTTAGGAGCAAAGTGTGTTAGATATATATATATATATATATATAGTGAGTCCGTCGTTACAAAACGAAAAAAAGATAACATACACAATATGTAGGTGAAAAAGGTAATAATAAAGTAATCGCGATTACTAAAGTAGTTATTATCGCAAATTGGGCGATTGTAATCTAAAGGATTAGTCAAACAATATTTCTTAACTTTGATGCTATACAAACTACATCGACGCGTGAATTCGAGGCGCACGGTATTTACGCCAAGTTAGTATTTAATGACGGGACGAAGTTCGGAAGTTAAAGGGCTAAACTTGCCCGCTGCATTCCGACCTATGCGCGCGAGACTTCCCCTCCGGATTACCGATTAAAAGTTTAACAGCCGGAACTTTTCAGCGACTTCAGCGGAAAATCGAACAGCGGGCGCCGATTGTACCGTCCTAAAAGCGGCTGTTTCGAAAGCTGATTATACATCAGTAACAACCATCGATTCGCTTCAACAGATTTCCGCAGCGAGTTATTGGCCGGCGCGCTACCATTGGGCCGACCGTTACGAAAAAGTTCCCTCTTCTTTCCTTTTGTCGAAAGTATTAACCGGACGAAGAACTTCATGAAAGTAAAACACGCTTGGCCCCGCGTTATGAAAGCGCCGCATAAAATTAGCATACCTCTTCGGCCGCATGAAGCATATCTCCATGATAGAGCACGTCGAATATCGCGCGACCAAGAACGAGCGCGGGGAGATTGATGGAATTTTTGAGTTCGTCCAAATATTCGTCCCCCCCATCCACCCCTCGTTCTCCCCATCCGTCGTGTCACCGATATCACTCGTCACGTGTAAGCATACGCGCATATCGCTTAAGGCGAAGTGACGTGCGCGGCTGTTATACAAATTCATGAAAATGTTTTATCCCAGATGCATTTATGTATAACTACGCATTTAGTAGATTTTCTTGGAAAAAGCTCTGTTTTCAGAAAAACGTTGGCCGTCGCGGAGAGAGCGTCGGGTACGACCGGCGTCGCGCTCGCGCGCGGGAATAAGTCAGCGGAAAAAGCTGAAATATTATCTTTTAAAAGCGCGGACATTAAGAGCGTTATGAAGTTACGTAACAAAGGAGAAGTTTAGGTGCCAAGAATATTAAGTTCTCCCAGCGGCGCGCGGTCGAAAAAAAACAAGGACAGAAAAGAGGGAAGGAAAAAGAGAACGAAAGTGTCGGGAATATACTGAAGAGAGAAAAATTAAAACCACGCGCTGTTGACGGCGGAAAAGAAACGTCGGGCTACATTTCTCCGAAGGTGGACGCTTGTATGCCGAACCGAGATAATATTTGCATATTTATTTTTGAAGTACGACCTAACGTTCTTCGCGGAATGACACGGAACTCTTCGTTCGCCGCAATACCGACGAGCGTCGAGAAGAAAGCGAAACAATGAAAAGCGCCCCGTGGACGGAGGAAAAAGGGGTGGAGCTTTACCCGGCATCGTCTTGTGTCCAGAAGAAATTTCCGAGTGAAAACAGCGAAGCTATTTCGACGACCGCTCTTCGCTGTTTCTTCTAGTCTCACAGTTCTACGAGGGAGCGCAGTCGTTCCCGTTGTAGTCCTTCCTCATCTGCATTTCGCTGCTATATACTTTTCTTTCTCCTTATTTCCGCGCCGTCTTTATGTAGCGAGGCGAGGCAGAAGGAAGAAAAGCACTACGCTCGTGTAGATATTTCTCTTTATGTACACTTGACATGTAAAAATTTCAACGGCGAGAATAATTCGTGCCGTTTGTAAACAGAGCTTCAGACGGTAGCTACTAGTGTGTATTCGAGCGTGATGCCTAGGTAAATGAGATCGTAAAGTAATACGGCGAGAAATCACTGATCTGGCTTAAATATTTGTGAAAAGTGAAGCTAAGGTGTAAGATATAAATAATAAAAAAAAAGCAATTTGTGGTATAAAAAAAAACAAAGCAGTCGAGATGGTGCAGCGTTTACGGCGTACGAATGCAAGATGCGTGAAATTGTTTCAAAACGAAATGAAACGATGTAAACGTCTAAATTATGTTAAATAACCCTGAAAAATTCTGAACATGTAAAAATAATAACTGACTCTGATTTATTTTATTAAAAAAACCATGAATCGCCATTCCGCACACCCTACAGAATCATTATATGATGAAATATTGCATGAGATCGACAACAACGTTTTATCCATTAAGATACCTAAGGATCGACGTCGTATTCAAACTGTGAACGGACAAGCTGCTGCCGAACCCGCATCTACCATCGATGCTAGATGTTTCGACAAATATGGTAAATTTATTAATAAAGGCGAGAAAAATAATACAAAGATTATTATTAGTTAATTAGTTACTGTAGTAAAACATTGATAGCAGTAAAACATTGGTAGCAAACATTGAATATTGATAGCAGTAAAACATTGGTAGCAAACATTGAATATTTGTAAGATTAAAATAACGAAATATTAATTACGTTATTACGTTTATAATATATTAAATTTACTACGATATTTTCTTTTTAAGGCAAAAAGTGTAAGAAAAGCTGTCCAAAGGTCAGTGTAAAACACAATCAGACGCCCCCTCCGAAAAAACCAGAAGAAGAAATGTTATTGTTAAAGACAATAAGACAAATTACCCCTACCGGCGATATGAAGCACAGTCTCGAGGTAGAATTTAAGTCGCCGCGAAATTACATACCGTTGCCGGAACCAGGACCTTCTCCGCCCATAATTGTTCCGAAAGAACCTATTATAGTGAAAAAGCTCGAGAATAAAGACAAGAAAAAAGTAAAGCAATAAAGATAAACATCAAGCAAAGTTTTCAGACACCATCTATGAAAAATATTTTACTTGTGTAAGTAAAATCTGCAGAGTTCTTAATTTGCGTACAAGAACGACAACAAATGGAAAACAGCCATTTAATATAGCCGCTAATGTGAAACATCAAATATAAAAATAAAAAAGAAAGATGGGTTTATTTAAAGTTAATAACAAAAGATTCTTTTGCAGATAAATATGACAGACGGCGAAATAAATTAATGTCTTGAAAGCCATTACAAAAATTTTATGCGATCATAATCATAAAGATAACAGTTTCACTAATATCTTTTCGCCCGTTCTTTTGTCATTATTACGGCGGAGATCGAACGAATTTGATGTTAGGCACGATAGATTTACGAGTTGCACGAGGCTGAAGTGTTCGCCACTTTGTCGAAAATACAGAGGCGGGCGCGAAGTCGAATAACGGAGCGATAAATCACCGGTGGTATTATATTCTTGCTCGTCTCGGGAAACAATAGATCATATCGCGCATACGGATACGCCGGTATTAAACGTTTTTGGGCCCATTGTCGCCCACCGACGCCGTGACGGCGGTGACCTTTTTAAGCCGCGCTTTAAGTTTCTACCCTCCAGCCGATAAATCACGACGATTTTACCTCCCTTGCGTGGTAAGGGAAACGCGAGCTCGGGCGCGCTCATAGAGAATCGGCCTTCCGATAAAGGGGTTTGAAAAAGGAAGGATCTCCGCAAATATTCCATTAGGACGCGCGCGCTAAGAGCCGGTGTAAAGTATCACTCGAGGCTCGTATTGCTTCCAATGAGGAAAACCAGGAAGCCAAGGAGTATGGTAACAGAAAGGAGAAATGCGAGATCAACGGAGAAACGCGCAGGGGATCGATACGCCGGAGTGACGAAGAGAGCTATTTTTCGGTGAGTGTAAAATATTCATTGTCGGTTGGCGCCGCGAACTCGAGAAGCTCTTCGGTCGCGTCGTTTTAGAATTATTGGACCCTTATGTAGTTTATTCATGCCTTCCCTTTTCGCTCTTGTATCTTTTTCGACGGTAAATAATTCTCCGATGTTCAAGTAAGTCCTGATTTGAAAAAATGCGCCTCTGTCCAACGTATCGTTCACTTTGACTCTTCTTCTACGACTTCGTTTACTTTCGCTGCGTGATATCTGCGCTCAGATCTCTGCGACTTAAGCTTTGAGTTTCATCCTCCCCCTCATGAATCAGACGTACTTACGAGCGCCATGATTTGCGGCACATAATTTGCGACGGAAAAGGAACGGGATGGGAAAAAGCAAATGTAACGGCGAAAGCCGATAAAAGGCCACGTGACGTTCTCGCGTTGACGCGGCGAGTGACGAATCGCTGCCGGAAAGAGGTGCTGCGGTTACACTCGGAAATTGGAGAGGTATTACTACTACCTATTTTCGGCGGCAAAGGTCGGCGCGAAAGATACATCCGCAATCGAGAGGGATGGAATGATGAAACGCGTCATTTGTCTGCGGATCCAAAATACTCAACAGCACTCAACGCGAAGAACATCGGGTGCGGTCGCGAAGCCATAAAAGCCCGGCAACGACAAATACATTCAGTTGTTACGAAGGCGTGCAAGTGCATGCGCAAGTGTTGGCCTGTGCAGTGGATGGCTGTAATTGGGCGCTGGTTACAGAATTCATTGCCGCATTTAGGACCTTAAACGGCTGGGAGGTAAATCACGATTAAACGCGATCATCAATCTACACTCTAGCGTGTAACGCGGTGTAAAACAGAGTGCAGTGTTGAAATCAACAATAAAAAAAAAAACGATTTAAAAACACGTAAAATTATTATGAGATTTTCGAAAATTCAATACACGTAATAGCAATTTGTGAATTTAATTAAAACAATGTAATTCTTTCGATGTTCGCTGCATTCATCTCGCCGCGTTAATATTTCTGAAAATTCCGCATAAATTAACAATTATAATTTAAATCCGTTTTTCAAAATTAAACATTATTATAAGCCAGAATATTTTCCGCATAATTAGGAGTTTGCTCTAAAATTTCCTTACACGCCTGCTGTATCTCCGTAATACGCGTGCGTATCTGTAATCTGGCGCAACCAAGGGCAGAAATTTCGTTGCCACATTTAAGACCAGCCTAACCATAACACGGACTGGCTGAGTATCGAATTCGACGTTGAGCAAAGCTGGTGGAACCGCAATTTACATGCGCCACGTACTGCCCTTAACGCAGCATGGCCATAGTCAGGCTAATGGAGGGTCTTAGCACAGACAGAATTGATGATCGCGATACCAAAGGCCTAAATCTATCTCACGTTGACATAGCGACAAACATTAAAACCATTCAAAAACATTCATGTATTCTATCAATAAATCCTTGGAATAAAATCTGTATAAAAATTGCAAGTTGCAAAATTATTACGTCCCTATCTTATTCTTGCCAAAGAAAGAAATTACTTTGAAATTAATTAAAGAGTCTATCATTAAAATTTTAATCCCGGTATAAAATAACTAAAATATTTTACGCAAAAATATAGATATATTTTAAACGTGAGAGCTACATGTCGCGCGTAATTTGCCATAACATGCCGCAACTGCTATTTTTACCGTAAAAATTATAAAATAATATAATATTATTTTTATTTTGAATAATAAAAAATCACTCAAATTTACAAGCGGCAATGTAAAAGCGGTTAAAGTTAAAGGATATTTGATATAATAAAAGTATATATCTGATGTAAATATCATAAAAGTGTTTCTGTAATCTCTGTTTTAGTATAGTAGCGTTTCATCCGCATATTCCGGGTAAGCCGCTTATGCATTAACGAGTATCAAAGACAACACTCATAGTCCGCAATCTGATAGCATCGCCAATGCGAAATTGGTACGCAAAATTATTCACGCGATTCACTGGTCACACACGCTCGAATAACGAACGCGAATTCGCACACGTGTCTGCGCGCGATAGAAATGTAATAATTCTGTTCGCTCATCACAGACAGAAATATATTGCGAGATTAATGGAAAGAATAATTAAATCTAGCATTGTGTCGCACGCAATTAAACACGCGATAGATAATAATCCCTCAAATCTATTGTAAAAAACTCAGAACATAAAAATTTTTAAGCCAGTAATAAAGACGAGAAATAATTTCTTCTATCAAGACAAGCGATTAATAATTAAATAAAAACACTTGTAAAAAGTGTTTTAAAGGTATTTCTAAAATACTTATGTACCACTTTAGACTGTAGCCTTTGAGAATCAAAATCCAAACATACATTTTTATTATTAAAAAACGTATATATAAAATATATATAATAATTAACGATTACAGTTAATTATAATAAGTTAAAAATTTCATCAATATCAGATTTTGCCATTTTAATCCGTTTGCGTTTTATGTTCTATGCATCTGTACATAGAATCGGCCGAAGTAAACATGCGGAATTCGACGTTGCCGTGAAAGCATTCGCGTGTAGTTTAAACGATCTTCTTGGTTCCTATTGTATAATTCAATAAAATTTGAATTGTTTTGCGCGAATAATGCTGACGGCGATTGCGTGGAAACAATTGGTCGATATTCCACGTATGAAAATCTTACGTGCATATTTATATATCGTGTGTTGCGTAATAAAAATATTGAACAAATCCTTAATTAAAGTTCGCTTGAATCGTTGCAGGAGAAAGAGCTTCAGAAATCGATGCAGATATAGAAATATCATTTTCTGATACGTTTTGCCCGAAGGCTGTGGAAAGTGCAAGCTTGCGATCGTGTACAGGGAATGCACATTTATACAGTGTGCACACAGGAATCAGACGGCAGTGCAGACTCCGTTTCTTTCATACTCGAGACGTTGTATTCAGCGTACCGCGCGATAACCAGCGTTATCCAGACACGTTGTGATTTTCCGCAGAAAATAAACCCGCCGCTGTTTCCGCGGCGTGCCAGGAATACGCGACGAGAAGCCGACAAGAGTGAAAAGGCGACGGTTGACCGAGCCGACAACGACGTCGACGACGGCGATGCGAGAGAGAGAGAGAGAGAGAGAGAGAGAGAGAGAGAGAGAGAGAGAGAAAGAGAAAGAGAGACCCAGGCTTGTACGCGATCGGTGAACGCACAACGAAATTGATCTTATTTTCCGCTCTCACGCACCTTTCCGCTATTTTCCACCGTCCTTGACACGCATGCCTTTCAATGTTATTTCCGCATCGGCTGTATCGTCGATAAGACCGAGTAATCGCCTCATAAATATCACGTTACATAGTCGAGAGGCGTTCAAATAATTCTTCATTATTTCACAAATGCAGTTAAAAACAATATAGTAATCTATGTGCATTTCAATGAACAAGTTTCAAGTTTCTCATATCTTCGATATCAAATAAATTTTAAGCTTTTCATTGTAAAATTATACAGGAAAATTACGTGATTTTATCTTCGAATAATAAAAATATTTTAAAATGACAAAGCCATTGATAAGAATAATCACAATATAACAGGAAAATGTCATTACACATCTATACAAAAATAAATGCAGAATCAGCGCTCATTCACCGATGCACCTATTCTAGCAAATAGCATCCGTTTGTGCAGCGTCCGTTTTGCAAAGTCAAGCGCAATCTTCGTAGCACAATCGCTTTATCTCATTACGTGCCACAATGTTGCACCGCATCGTTGTCGTCGTCGTCGTCGTCGTCGTCGGCTTTACGGCAGCAATCGACAAAATCGAGTGAATTCAACGTGCACGGCGTCGCGCAGCTCCCGCTCCTAATACGCGTGTTCGCGTTGTCGCGCGCTCACGATAATATAAACGGCGGGCACCGGTAAACAGATTAAGCGCATTCGGCGAGTCACGCAGGTGAGCACCAATTGTGTTCATTATTAACGTAATCAGGTGCAGCTGAGCCACGCATGAATACGCATCAACGCGAGCGGTTAACGTTAACGATCGCGTCCGCTGGCGAACGGTCGCGCCGGCTCGATGTCGTTACACATTCAGCCGGTCGGATAACGTTCGATTG